GGGGTGGGGAGAACCGGTGCGGCCCGGCCCGGAACCGCCTCCGCCGGTGCTCGTTCCGCCGCGCTGAGGGCTGGGAAATACTTTCCTTCCATCCGGTTTAACGGCAGAGGTCCCCGGGCTGGAAGGGGCCGGGGCCGGTAAACCCTCCCCGGGCGCCAGCTGGTTTTCTGTTAATGAGCCTTTTTGCTGAGGAAACACCTCCCGGTGCCGCGTGGGTTCAGGTTATTTCAAATATCCTCCGCTCGCGGTCCCTGAGTGCCCCGGGGTCTGTTATATGCTGGCAGACACCCACGCGTGTGCCAGGCTGCTTCAGGGTCTGCCTGCTCCCGTCTGCCCGTGCCTGGTGAACAGCAGTGTCTTCTCATCCCCAAGCTTCATCCCCAAGATCAGGGGAAACCTCCCAGGTAGTATGTGATAGCGAGAATATAAAATACTCTGTTGCTTCACCTGTGCTTATGGTTCAGCTCTGGAATAGGGGGAATAGGGTCACAGCACCTCGGTATGTAATTTTTTTTTTTGGCATCTGCTTCCAGGAAGAGGAAGAAAAGCGGTCTCTCGCTGGAGCCAGATGAGAAAGAGGAAGAAAAGGCCCCACAGAATGAGGAGGAAGAGGAAGTGGATAATATAGAACAGGTGGAAAGAAACAGAGAAGAAGAAGAAAAAAAGAAAGAGGATGCTCTTTGGGCCAGTTTCCTTAGTGATGTGGGACAGAAACCCAGAGCGGTGGCTGCCACGCAAGTGACACAAGCTAAGAAGGTAACGGAGGCCTGGGCCTTCGCCCAAGGAGTGTGGGAAGGGCCTGAAGCTTTAGAGCACAGAGTGTCATTTCTAGCTGGTACCAAATATTAGAGCTGGGAAGAGGCTGGGTTCACCCCTGCCCCATCTGTTTGGAAGCCTGGAGCCCCATCATGGGGCAAACCAAGCTCCTGGTTCGCTTCCAGCTGGGGAGGTCTGTGATCTGATGCTGCTGCTTTCAGAGCTGCTCGTCAGCGTCTCGGAGTGTGCCCCAGAGCCCTGCTGGCATCTCCTCTTGGTCCTGGATTGTGACATAGGAGCAGCACAGTGGGCTTCGGTCTGAGCTGTGTTTGTGGACACAGCCCTGTCCTGAGGCTTGTGCCTGTCCTGATGCTCAGAACATGGAGACTCTGTGTGTGTGTGAGGGGAAACAGAGGAGACCTGTGCTGACATCTCTGGGCCTTGCCCTTAGTCTTCGTCCAGTGGAGGGGTCTGGAAGATGATGCATGTTGGCATGGATGTTTGTAACAAGAATGAATCTAGCTTTCTCTAGTTTCCTTTATAAACCCTATTAACGTGCTCTTGCTTTCTGTCTGCAGAGGTTTTCTGGAGAGAGAATTCTGTGTGTAATCAGCTGGTTAAAAGGATTTGGTTCTTAATAAAACCAAATGCATGTATTTCCCTTGCAGAACCTTTCACATGGAAGGTGGTAGAAGGGAAGAAGCTACCAAAGCTCATTCTCTGTTGCTAGAATTGTCTTTTTTTTTTTTCTGGGCAGTCAGACAAAAAAGTACTTTGTAACAAAAGTCTGGGCTCTTGAGTTGGTGTTGCCTGGCCAGTACAGTTCTCAGTGTGTGAAACTTCTTTCTATGACTGTTGGAAGGTTGCAGAACTTGCTTACAGCTTTTAGAGGAAGAGTTCTTTTTGTCTGAGCCCTCCTGCTTGTCTCCACCTCAGTTGAAGCTGGCTGAGCAGCTGAGATGGTTACAGGTAGAATTAGAGAGAAGAAGAGAGGAAAAGTTCTCTTCTGAGCAATTCTACTTTTATGGGCAGATCGCTAAAACATGACTGTTTTTTGGAAGTTCCTCCATAGCCTGGAATAATTTATGGAGAGATGCAGTTCCTCTGTTGTCTTTGTGAATTTCTTAATTTGGATTTAAGTTGTCTGCTTGAAGATCTCTGCAGTGTGTGTTTGATTTAGAGAAAGAATTTTGGGTTTCATTTTGATTATTTGTAGAGTCCTTGGCTCTTTTATGTACGCTGTTAAAAGCTGTAGTTATGACTGAGTAAATGAAGAGGTGCTGTTGACAAATTGCTTGATAAAGATATTTCCCTCTCAGACTAAGTAGATGTTATTAACAAGCAGCTTAATATCTTCAGGGTTCTCTGTGAAGATCAGCCTTGCTTCTCCTGCTGATGGGTTGTGTTGTTCTATATTCTTGAGTAAAAATAAACATACTTCAGTGTAATCCACCTTGGCAGCTTTACTGCCTGGTGGTGCTTAGTTTGGGAGAACTGAGTGTTCAGGCTTTTGCTTGCTGTGTGAACCACACAGTGTGTTCTTGCTTCTTCCTCCATTTCATTACAATTTCACTTCTTTTTTTGGGTCTTTTGTCATCCTTAGGCTCCAATGAGAGCCTGAAACCAAAGCAAGGAATTTCCTTCTTGTGGCAGGGGTGTTTTTTTCCTTTTTCTCATCCATGGGTGACTTGCTTTGACCAGCCAGCCTAAATTGCAGTGCTACCTGAGCTCTGTGTAGGGTCCTTGGCCCCCTGGAGTGATAATTTGGCTTGGCTCCACAAATGCATTGTTTTGCTCTTTCCTGTGTTTCACAGGCTGAAGAAGAAAAGAGCGGGAAGAAGCTTCAGGAGAAACCAAAAGAGTCTGAGAAGCCAAAAGATTCAGGAAAAGTGACAATCACCAAAGTGTTTGATTTCGCTGGTGAGGAAGTCAGGTAAGCTGGCAGGTGTGATGTGTCTGCTGCGGGCTCAGAGCAAATTGGGTGCCGCTCTGCTGCTGGCAGGCTGGAGATGTGCTGTGAAGCATGGTGTATCTTCTCCTTTTTCCTTCACACTTGTTTTTTTGATCATGGGCACAGACAGACCTCAAGGAAAACGAAGCCAGGATTTTTCTGCCTGAGGGCTGCAGAGAATCCCTATACGCAGACCTCAATCTTTGCTCAGCTTCAAAATATGCCTGTAAATTCACATCGGCTTCCCCGTCTGGGCAGTGTTTGAAATGATTGGCAAAGCTGCCTGGTGGCACTGCCACTGTGAAGGTGGAGACAAGGAGAGAACCACATATGGCCCCACAGGGATGACAGTGATGTATTTTATTCCTTCGGTCTAGTCCAAGTCCTGTCTGGGGGCAGGACGTTTGCTGGCACTTTCCCGGGTGATGTGCACAACCCACCACAAAGATCTGCAGACAGTATGAGGTGTTTTGCCGAACAGACTAATAGCTGAGTGCTTTTACCTCTGAAAGAGCTGCCTCAAAGGTGGTGGGCTAGGTAAAAATCATCCTTGAGGCTGAGTTTGGCTTGCAAGATGCCCCTCGGGATGTGGTGCACAAAGGGGCGAGTGTAAGACCAGAACTGAGGGGCCTGGGTGAACGCACTTGAAATGGGAATGCCCTGTGACCTTGTGGTTATTACCATGGTGTATTTAACATGTAGCTGGTTTTGTCAGATGGGAATTTCACCTGTATTTTGTGTGACAGCAGAGGGCAGCAGTTCCCAGCAGTAACAACCGCGCTGCCTAAATCTGGAGGAGGAAGCCGAGAGGGTTTTCCGCTGCTCTTGCTTTTCATGTCAGCACTGCTGCCTGAGCTGTTTGAAAAATCTGAGGAGAGCCGTGAGTCACAGCAGTGACTTTCCTATTTCCCTGCACAATCCAGGCTGTAGGAACATTCATGTGTGAAATGGCAAAGAACTGTACACCTGCAGCTTTTCTGAGAGAGTGTCTAACATACCCTTTCTCCGAAGGAAAGGCTAGCTCTTTCCCCTGGACAGATAAAAATCTGTAGCAGAATTACAGACAGAATTTTGTCTTCTGATGCATGCTCCTCTCCTCAGAACCCACCTTGTTTGTCCCCGATTTTCCTGTTTTTTTTTTTTTTTTCTGGTTCCAATGCAATGCCCTACCAGGTGAGAGCAGCTGAAGCTCTGGGGTGGCAGGGCAGTCATACAAAAGCCTCGTTGGGTTCTGACGTATCATCAGATGGCATATGGCAAAACTGCCTTCCTGGCGCTTTGGGGTCGCGTGAAATCGGCATGCAGTCTTCGGTGAAGTCTGGACATGTCTGTCTGTGTGGTGTAGGCGAGTGTCATGTCCTAACAGGAGTGCAGAAGTGTGTCACGTAAAGGAGGGGGTTGATTGCAGGGAAACTTGCCTTGGAGGCTTAACTTCAGAACATGAGTCTTCCACTTGTGCAAAAAAATGTTTTTTGTGCAGTTTTTTGTTAGGTATAGGACCCTTTGAAGTAGGGAGCTAGTGAACATGCCTGCCTTGAAGCTTCTTGTTTACCTGTCTATGAAAAGAAGCCCCCGATAATGCTGATTTAAGCATGGAATTACTCAGATGTTGGTCTGATTCTGGCATTGTCAATTTTGCGTGGTGGTTACAGAGTAGCTTTACCAGTGGTGCTCTTGCTTTTATTGGTAGTATGAGTTGGAGGGGTTGGGGAATCTTTCTCTGTCCTTCAAAAAGTGGCTTGCCTTATGTGAGCAGAATTTGTCCAGGGCTCCTAAGATGCTGAGTTTGTGCTTTTGACATCACTGTCTCATCTGTAGGGTTTTTTTTAATAGCTGTAGTAAGAAGTTTCCAAGTTAGATAAAGGCATGTTTTTCTGCACCAGTTGCTTTTCTGGGGTCCTTTGTACTGCTCTGTACTGTTTCCCTTGGGGAACAGCAAAAGAATTGATAAAAGTTTCTACTAAATTTTGATCAAATAGGCAGGAGCTGGAGCTGGAGCCTGGGTGACAATGAGATTGCAATCCTGCAAACCACCAAGGCTACTGTATTTTTTGTTTACAGCAGCTGCTGTATCAAGAGGTTACAGAGCCAGCAACAGAAAGTTTGCAGCGAGGTCTGGACGACTGTCTTTTGCTGGTGCCAGAGTTACAACATGCTACTTTCTTTAGATCTTTGATAACAGAAAAATCCTTCAATGCTTTTTGCCCCCTTGATTTTTGTGATATTCAAAGCTCAAGCTTTTGTGTTGTCGGCTACATCTTGCATCTCTAAATGTGCTACGCTGTTAGCTGTGGAGTTACAACATAAGGAATGTGTAAGGAGGATAATGTAAGGAGTTATCCTTAGTTACAGCTCCTGGTACTTTCCTGTAGCGGCAGCAGGTGAGGGCCAGAGGGCTGCTTTTTCTTTAGAATAGCAGGAGGTTGTCTTTGCACAACCCTAGTGCTGCAAATGCTCTGAATACCAAACACTGGCTTCCTTGCCTGGGGAAGCAGCTGGCAAATCGTTGGTTACAAAGGCCAACACATGGTAGTTGTGTGTGTGCGTTTCTGGACTGAAAGATCTGAAATGAGAGAGCTGTCGCTGTTGCTTTCCTTTTTAAATGGTTTGAGGCTACTTTCGAGTGTTGCTCTTTTGAAAGCTTGGGAAGAATTTACATTAGTATTTAAGCACCGGTAGATTCAGGGCACAAATTTCATCAGTCTGCTTGTTGAAGCTCTTAACAGAAGATCATTTAGCCCTGATCTCATGTTGCAGAACAATTTATTTTCTCCTGTAAGGAGATGGTATAATCTCTCTTGCATGTTTGAAGCAGCAGCAGAAGTCTCTTGAAAAAAGTCTCCAGCTACAGGGCTAGACTAGAATAGTGAAGGACCTTCCTCTTCAAGCTGTCAGCTCCCCTGTAGGTTAGTGTTGCACTCAGTGTCCGTTTTGATTAGCCTGTGCTTGTATCGGTTGCTAATGCTGAACTTTAGGTTCAGAGTATTACTAGTTACCAAATAAAGAATTAAATATAGTGCCTTTTAGTTTTATAAGATACATGATTTAGTATTACCTTGTTAAACCAAAGCTGATGAATCTTCGAACTAGAAACAGTCTTTAACCGATTTGTGTCTTTTCCAGTTATGACGACTCTGTCTGATTTTCATTCCTCCCTGGTGTTAAATAGATGAGGAGCAGCAGGTGACTGTCACCCAAGTGGCTGTAATTGTGGGCTGTGGGAGCAATTTGCAGAGGCAGTTCACCATCTACATAGAAGTTCAAGTAATTTCTCACTAGCAGAGGAGATTGAAACGCCTTTGAGGCCTCTGGTTTATGAACTTGCCTCACAATGCAGGACGCGTGGTTGCATTAATAGGGAATCGCGTCCCTGGTGCAAAGGTTTATCCACTGCAAAATGGGATTGCTGTATGAAGAGCCTTGTTTTCTCTCTGGCAGTCCAAACTACTGTGGTCCTTGGCTTTCTTTAAACCACTGCTGTGCTCAGCATATCAAAATGGTTCTTCTCTGCTCCTTCCATGAGAATTGACTTTGTCCAGGACTGCGGCAGAAGGCAGCTCATGTGCGTGGAGCTGGCCCAGCCCCGTGGTGTCAGCCGTGGTCAGCATGACAGTGTGTGAGGGAAGAGAAACGTGGGGCCACGGAATGCTAGCAAGAGGAGGTTTTAGTCTAAAAACATCTTCTGTGAACCTTCACTTGGCTTGTGGGAGGCCAAACGGCGCTGAGAGGAGTAATGGCGCCTGGCTTAGGTGCTGATTCAGGAACGAGCGGCTGTGTTCATACACTGCAAATGCCAGGTGAAGGACTGGAAACTCGGAGCTTTGTGTTTCTGTGCGTGTGTGCTTCCTTGGTGTGATTTAAATCCAACACTCAGGTTATTCTTTGGGTGGGAATGCTTTCCGGGTACTGCAGAGTTGCCATGCTGTTGTGTCGTGTTGTGTTGTGCAAAACTGAGGCTTGTGCTGCTTCAGTGACCCTCGGCCCCCTCCCCACCTGCACGAACAAAGCAGCCAAGCCAAAGGAAGGCCACAGTAGAGCTCCACTCTCCATCTCTCACTGGCAAGAGCCTTGCTCTTTTCCTGAAATCTGTCCAGGCGCTCCTGTCACAGCTCCCTTTACCTTCCCCCAAGGCTGCCTTCTCCAGGATTGCTGGTTTTTGGAGTCCAGAACAACTCCCAGCAGGCTGGGCGATGGCCTCAGCACCGTGGTCCCTTCCAGCCCAGCCCTCACTGCCAGTAGGTAGCTAACTTCTTGGAGGCAGTTGCTTCTGACTCCTGGAGGACTTGTGGATTAGGTTTTGCATTAACATTTGAGCTTTTTTTCTTGAGCTTCTTCACTGTGCTTGCACACTCTGAACCTGTTTCTTTCAGCACTCTCACGCGTCTGGCAGGTGTTCCTGTGATGTGAGTAATTCTTGGCTTCTCGCCACATCGGGGGCCAGAGTTGTCATGCAAGCTGCATGGCTGCTGGCAGCGTGCTGGGCCTGGATCCATGTAGAAATGTTTTAGGAAGAGGTTTCAAGATCTCCTCTCCACATCTGCAGTGTGTGCTCCCTTCTGCTGTCTAGATGCTGGGGTGAGTGCAAAGATCCAGCCGGTACTTTCTTGCGTGCTGCGTGTCTTCCTCCTGCTGAGCACTGATAAATGCCAAAGGCATCGTTCTTACTGATATGTCAGAAATTGCTAGACCACAGAGCCCTGAACCTGAAGCATTTATAGCCAGGAAGCTAGGGGTTTACTGTGGACCTTGCGTAACAGGTAAACGTTTGTCCAGTGAACTCTTTGATTATTTTCATATTTGAAGGCTGAGCAGATGGGTGAGATTTCGCTGAGTTTGACTGAAGCCCATCTTTTCAGGTTGAGCTCGGTAATCTTTATCTGCCTGTTTCCTGATTAATTCAGGCTGCTTTTGAAAGTATTCTTCAGTGTTTGCCTGATTAAAGCTTACTGTTTCTTTGAAACTCAGTGCTGGAATGCCCATGT